CTCACATCTCCAAAATCTCTTTTTTTTTTTTTTTTTGTTGTTTTTTTTTTTTTAAAATTTTAATTCTTAGATTTTTATCATGGCTGCAAAACACTTGGGTAACGACTTAATCATAGAGATGTGGGAGTACCAAAGTGTTATCACTCTACATAATAGTGTTCATCCTGATAGCAGGAGCAAGGCTTTCACAAAACACAGGCCTTAAGCTGGCTTTCTTCCTATCAGCAAAATGTGCCTGAGAAGAATGAGGAAAAATGTGTCTTTTAAGAAATGGTGGTTGTTAGAGAGAATATGCAACAAGTCTGTCTGAAATCTCTTTGGACCTGTTATAGCCATGGTTAGTTCAAGCCTGGCTTAGGTTTGACAAATGCTTGTTCCTTTTGATTTTGAGGAAGTCTGAAAGGCAAGGGATAACAGGACCCAAGAGAAGGTTCTTGAAAGAAATCCTGTGTCAAGGATAAMTGTTAGACACTGAATGGCTCAGAAAGGGTTTGAGTTGATAACTGGTGTCTGTTGGTATCTGGTTCCTGCAGTTGGGTCATGAGGTTGATTTGCTGTTTGTTCACCAGGCTGGGTGGACAACTCCTCGTACAGGTTCAGTACTGGTGGCTGGGGCTGTTGGACAAAGGGTACTGAACAATCTCACTGTGGGGAAATTCCCATGAGGAAACACTAACGATGGTAACTCAGGGTTTGTTGTGGAAGGAGAGCAGGAACTATTCCATAACAGAGAGGTTAGTAAAATACAGACTAAGAGAGCTGTGAGAACACTATTTCCCCTTAGAGCTGGTCGCAATTTTTACACTAGATTATGTGATATCAGAAAGGCCTTTTTTTAAATGAGAAATTTTCTCTTTTTGCAATGTTACCCACAACATTTTTTGGCTTGGGTTGGGTTTTTTTTTTCCTTATGATTAAAATTATTAAAGTTATGATTAAAATAATTCTGAATTCTTATCTAAAAAATTTCAGAATTGTTAACAAATGTTTTCATTTCTCAAAGACCCATGTCTTCTTTCACAGTTTTTTGTAGTTCTTGGATTTCTTCTGCTGGTAAATTAAAGTTTCTGTGACAATTTTGAAAACTTCTTTGGATAAAGATTCTATTTAAAACCAAGCATATGTTCTTGGGAAATGATTCAGTATTGGACCTGGTGAAACAAAAAAAAAGCTTTGAAACTTTTCACTAGATATTTTTCCCTATTTTTAACTAGTTTTGCTAATTTTGAAGTCACTGTTTCCTTTGTTAGAACAATCCAAGTAATGTGACTCTTAAAATAGCAGTGTTACTTCTGTTGGATTCATTTTTCTTACCCTTCTTAAAGCCATGGCTGGCTATAGGGACTGCCAGTGTCTTTTTCTATGGCAATTGCAATTTACTTCTTTCTTTATATCTTGGGGTCTTTTTCTATTTGGTGTTTTTTCCCTGAAATTACTGAGGAATATCAGCACATTACGGCAACTGCCATGAAGATCAAGAGATACTGATTGAACTTCATCGCTTTTCTGGGCTTTTCTGGCATTTTTCCTTAAACATTTCTAGAAATAATACCTGTCTTCCTGAGCATTTCAAGTTTGAATTTGCAAGAGTTCATTGCCCAAGTGGCACTTGGAGCCTGAGAGAGAACAGATTTTACACCTGTGAAACGATAACATTCATCCAGCATCAAAATATCTAAGAGAAAAAACATTACCTCAGTAGGTTTCCTGGTGGACATTGAGGAACAGCTCTCACTTTAGCCTGGAAATTTTCTGCTGTGATCTGAAAAAAAACTAATTTCCACCTTGGTAGAGCAGTCTGGCATACACATGCACAAGTCAGGTGGTTGTGGG